CCTAAGAATTTAGTTTTTGGTCATCTGAACGCGGGCGGAGCCGCGGGCAATGCTAGTTAATATTATAAATGTGAAAGTTTGTGAGTATGTATGGATGTTTGTTACTCTTTCACGCCAGAACGGCTGAACGGATCTGGATGAAAATTGGAACAGAGCTAGATTATAGTCTACTTTTTATCTCGGGAAAATGTACGGTTCCCGTGGGATAGATTTGTATTGTTTGTCTAGAGGCGAACCCGATCGAAGCGAGGATGAGTCGCTTGTTAGTTATAAATATCGAAGGTAAAGCAACGTGTTAATATTAAATTGTTTACAATAACTACTATATTAAATTAAATTTATTCGCCGAAAGTACATCATGTATATAACTTATCTGATATAAAGTTAATAAACACGATTTTCTTTCGGCTTTTTTTTACTATCAGAATTCTAAAATCAGTATCGCTTCAACAAATTCAAGCAGTATTGTCTACATATAAAGCAGCATTTTCCTCTTTATATTGTAATAGGAAAAATGAATTTGATATAGCCATCCACGCAAAAAGAAAGGAGTTATAAGTTTTATTAGTATGTATCTGTTTGTTTGTACAAACGGATGAATGATGGAAGCAATCTAATTAAGTTTTTTTTCTTTCAAAGATGCCCTGATCGAGTGTTCTTAGCTATAAATGAAGAACATCCGTTCAGCCGTTTGCAGTCATCAGCTCTTCTGTAGACCGTAAAAAGATATGAACAACTTAGTATCCCGTTACTTTAATGACATTGCAATGGCAACTAAAATCTGCAAGATAACCAAATCTGTACTAAAATACTGCGGAGGTGTCATGTTTAAGCTCAATGAAATGGTCTTAACGAATAGGTTATTGTTTTGGGGTTATTTAATTTTTTTTATTTAAGAATTATTACACTCTTGATTAATGATGTCACAGCCCAAGTGACAGGTTCTAGAGGGCTGGAATTTTAAATTCTATTTCAATAATGAAAAATTGTATCTATCTACTAAACTATATTGAAAAGGGATGAAAGAATTTAAATAGACAACCTCTTGTTTCGGTGCGCTTTTATGATAATTTTTTATGGATAAGTTTTATTATTTTAAATACTACAGAGTTACAGTTCAGTGATGAGGATTTTTCCATTTATTTGGAGTAGAAATTTTACTTATTTTACCAATAACGTATAAATATCTATTAGCAAGCAATAAGTACATTTAAAGTTATAGCTAGTTGGGCAATAAAATATTTTATTCCTAGAAATAAGTGTCTGAAGTAACTCAAATGGACTGATTTTTCTATTTGTTTCTAAGTGATAAAATGGAAACATTAAATATTTTTAACTAAGGTAAAGTAGTAAAGCAGTGGTAGCCCAGTGGTAGCGTGCTCGCTTGGGAAACTTATTGCGAGGGAGCGAGTTCAACTCCCGGGTCTCGCACCTCTGATATTTTCATGTGCGAATCATTTCCAACATGATTGCCACTTGTCTTAACGGTGAAGGAAACCATCGTGAGGAAACCTGCATGTCTGAGAAAAAATAGCAAGTTTTCAAAAGACATGTGAAGTCCGCCAACCCGCACTTGGCTAGCGTGGTGGACTGTGGCCTGATTCCCCTCGTACTGAAGGGAGGCCCATGCCCAGCAGTGGGACGTTAAAAAGGGCTGAATACAAAGTAGTTGAAAACAGAATGAACCACTTAATTAATTATGAAGGTTATGTGTAAAGATCTGTGCAAAACAAAATGTTCGCATACCAGCTTAATCTAGATCTACTCGCTTTCCACGTGTTTTCAACTACCTACGTGAGTGATAAATAGAAATTACAAATGCGCTTTGCACATAAGAAAATCAAGAATTCTGTACGAAAGATTAATTAAATCACTTTAAATAAAAGATGGAAGATTGAGAAAGCGGATATCTATGTGAGTAGTCGCTGGGTAGAAACGTTATAATTATATTTACTTAAAATTATTGTTATACTTGCATAAATTAACTTATGATTACAAATCATAGCCTATCTGTGTATTAAATTTCATCCAAATATGTTTAGTCGCATCAGCGTGATGGAGTAACAAACGAACATACAAACATACAATTACAGTTATAACAATGGACCGTAAGTATTTTGACAGCTGTTGCTGAAAAATGTTTCGTGAAATTTAAGCTTGAGACTACGAGTATATTACGAGTATAACTAATAACCACCTACAGCTAATATTTTTAAATTCCATAAAAACTTTTTAACAAAAAAATAAAAACCGACTTCAAACAAAATCACTAAAAAGTAAAAAATAACTGATTGGTAGTTTTCATTTACTATACATACCTAATCAAATATTTTCGAAGTCGGCGTGCTTTGCTTTGTATGGGCTGGCACCGAATTCGAAAATATTTGATTAGGTATGTATTTAATAGGAAGGCTTTAATTACTTAGCCAAAGCACACCGACTTCGAATATATTTGATTAGGTATGTATAGTAAATGAAAACTACCAATCAGTTATTTTTTACTTTTTAGTGCTTTTGTTTGAAGTCGGTTTTTATTTTTTTGTTAAAAAGTTTTTATTTTTTCCTTTTTAGTGTAGACAGTAGTAGCATAGTAAGGATTCTAACGTGTTAGGCTTGTCAAATCAAACAAAATAAGCCCAAACTCAAAGTATCTACTATTAGCCGTTGAAGAGTTCCACCTATCCATCTTCTGGCCTTACCATCAGATCAGGTCAACAATACCGAACCACTGTACTATCAACGGAAATAGAAACACTTGCAAAGTTTCAAGTCAATATGACAATTAGAAGTAGGTTAAATTCATCATTAGTTGTTTTTCCACCCTTAGGGGTGGTATTTTTTTTTGAAATTTAAATGGGACCAATCTGAAAGTATATCCTTTCAAACGAAACAAAAATTGTCCAAATCGGTTAATAAATGACGGAGTTCTGAGGTAACAAACATAAAAAAAGATACAGTCGAATTGAGAACCTCCTCCTTTTTGAAGTCGGTTGAAAAGCGGAATATGTAAAAATAATATTTTAGAAGACAATACATAACAAAATCCAAATCGCCCATCTCTTGATTTTTAAGAATCATTACGTTACCTATCCTCTTTTGATTGAACGTAGTAATACATAACAATAATGTACAAATCTACATATACTAATATTATAGAGGTAAAGTTTGTGAGTTTGTGACGTTGTAGGGGGTAATCTCTGGATCTACTGAACCGACTTAGATGAAATTTGGTAAGAAGATAATTTGAGACCCTGGGAAGAACATATGATACTTTTCATCCCGGAAATCATCCCTTTAGGGGGTGAAAATGGGGATGTAAGTTTGTATGGGGAATCAACATAGGGACGAACCCGAGCGAAGCGAGGGTGAATCACTAGTGTATAACATATAATTGAACTAATCTAGCGGAGCGGTGGGAAATCACCAGTAGAACATATTATCACAATCTACTAAACATATTGTCGTCTAATGAAGGTATGTAGAGAGGGCACTGATGCAGGGCGTGCGAGGAGATACGCGGGTGAGGTGCATCCGACTGTCATACGTTATTTTATATGACTGTCGGGAAACGACATTAGGGTTATACAGTTGAGTATGACTGTAGCTTGCCATGAAAGGGTACTACAACGGTTTTACTTCGAAACCGTTTATCATGAAAATTAGTATTATTTGATAACCAACCTTAGCATTTGACAACATTATGCATTCGGAGGCTTAAATAGATGTTTTATACTTCAATCGCTATGAGTTTTGCTACATTGCACTTATTATATGACCATCGCATGATCAAGATAACTCTAACGACATAGTATGTGTAGTTCATCAAAATCGTATCAGGTGTTTAGTAATTACAAGGAAATATATGGTCGGACATATATACTTACATACATACGGATCAAACTTCCTCCTTCTCCTCTCCTCCTCTGATCCTCCTTTCGGATTTTATATTACTTTGTCATTAAAGATAGGTATATACTTTGTCATAACATGTAATTAACATAGATACTCAAAAGACAACCCTCTAGTCACAACAGACAAACAGATGAATTGATAGCGCATTAGTAAGGTCACGTAACACATTTTGAATTTTGATCCCTTGGGTAAGCCGTACGTACGGAACCCAAAAAAGGTTACGACTTGAAATATTATCTCTTAGACTGCAGTCTTAGGTGATAGAAAGCCAATCGTGAATAAGAAGAAAATCTTATTTTTTTTATTAATTAATAATAATATACATACAATACAGTATAGTAGACTATGATACGAATATAACAGAGAAGTCTAATTGTAATCATATTATATATATATATCTTTTGTATGTTTACATTTATCTAAAAATTCTCGAAAAATGAGATTTAAAGTACGTAACTTTTGGGAACTTATAAACTTTTTTAAATTTACATTATCGAAGTAATTATCGGTCTGAGTTTAATTAAACAATATACATGATAAATAATTCCGATACAGCTACTTGTTATGTAGTACCTACTGATTTAAAAAAAATGCTTTAAGTCTACGTTATGTTATTTACTTGTTTAGTTGTATTTTCCCAATTATTTTTATACAATTTATTACTCCGTATCTACTTAGTGTCATGCTACGAACAGCTACGAAAATTACATACAATTCAATTTATTTTCTAATATTATGTATTTAGCATTTTAAAACTTTCACTATTAATACCTTAATACTTTTTATAAAGCCAAAGAATAAAAATTACAACTGTTTTGCGGCAACACAAAAAAAAAACAATGTTCCTTTTACAAAAGATATTTAGATTGCCTGCTGAAAGATAAGTATTGATGTTTTGATTGTTTTCAACAGTTCCAATTTTTTTTTGCCTGGCATTCTTAAAAGTGTTTGATTAGTCATCACTACAAATCTATTCATGTGTATTCTATCTAAACAAAACAACGTGCCATTACAAAAATGTGGTGTGATCGATATCTGTTAGGTTAGAAAAAATAACAAATTTTATGATAGAATGCATTGCGACTGACCTGAGGAGTCCAGGCGGCTGCGACGCGGCTAGAAGACCGGCTTCGGGTGCGCCACAGCCGCCTGCTGACGCTCTGCACCACACTGCTCGACGACCGCGACTTCTGCATGCCACCTGTCGGAGATGTCACAGGGGTTGCACTTCTACCCAATAGGGTGGACAGAAACGAGTGCGACTGAGTCGGCGATGGAGGAGACGTTGGCGTTGATACCACTGAAGCAAACTGTAAGTCTCTATAGTTTAAAATCCAAGAATCTTCAGTTTGACAGCCTTTATGAGGCCCGTCATCATCCACTTCGCCGGGCTGACGAGGCTTTATGTTACGAAGGTTCTTATCGTAATTAATGCGCTTGAATCGATCAGTCTTTTCAGAATCTACACTCTTTTTCCGCGCCATTCTTAAATACCGCTTTATAGTATCACTGACTGATTGAGATACGTCGTCATGGTCCACGCTGGACCGGCGCCTCGGCCGCCTCTCCGGAGGAGGACTCGTAGGGCTCGTTGGAACCGTTGCTGCTTCTATTTTTTCTTTGTACGCACGTTCCAACTCCAGTAACAATTCTTCTGGAATAGGAATAGTTTGCGTACTGACATCGACACCTTTTTCTTCCAATGATTCACCACAAACCTCAATAAGAGGGGGAGGTGACATCGGTGGCGATTGTGAATGGTCCTCATCGTTAAACTTTGAACTACCAAAATTTCGACCTCGAAACACGCTACGTGAATTACTTGCACTGTACCCACCGGAGGGCGTGAAACCACCGGAACCACCACCGCTCCTACCACCGCGATATGGCTTCGTTTTACGAAGATCATGATAAAGTTTTTTTAACAAATTCCTATCATTTAATAAATCCTGCACTGTACTGTCTCTATTTGGCGATCTATTGTAATACCTGCCGAGGTTCTCACGCAAAATTCTTTGCGCGGGGTCACCATCAGAATCAGTGGGACCACGCTCTGATTGTCGCTTGAGATAATTTCTCAATGCTTGCAAAAGCTCCTCAGATTCTGTAAGCTTCGGCGCACTCTTATCGTCGTCTATTTTCAGGTACTTGCGTAGTAAATCAACTAACACTCCGTCATCATCTTCCGCAGGTACCGACCGCGGGGAAGAGTTTTTTAATGGAGTATTGAACGATGATGACGGTAGACCAGAGGAGGACGGAGAAGGCGGTGGGGCCGCGAAAAAATCTCGCCGGAGCTTTGCAATATCAAAGCGTCCACCTGAAGTGTGGGGTATATAGAGTTCGGTGGGCCTCACGGGCGGCGGCGGTGCGTCATCGGATGGCGAGCGCGCTCGGACCGATCCGCCCCGCGCTCTCTTCTTGCGTCGCGGGCGCGGTAGCACTCCCGGGTAAGAACTTTTCCGCCACAGAAGGAACCGTGGCTCGCGCTGGCAAACCTCTTGGAAGTATGCCTCGATGCGCGGCACGTCTTCCGCACGATTTTGCGTGCCATCCGGTATAAGCCGGCGGCCGGCATCTGACATGTACTTCCATGTCTTACGCGTGAGCAGCCATCGCTCGCGCGGTTTATCTCGGCGGCGAACAGTCTTGGTCATGGAGTCAGCGAGGTCGAGTCGCGCGGGGCGGCGACGCTCCATGCCGTTGGGGGCGCTGGGCTCGCTCGCCGCATCTCTCTCGACGCGCGCACCTGCCCGCGCGAAACTGAACGTTCCACCGCACCGTTCGAAATATTATGCGCCGAAATAGACGTCCGGTAATAGAGCGGCCGTGAACTGAATATAGGGTGTGCGCGAGTGGCAGCGCTCGGCTCGGCGCGGCGCTGACTGCGGCTGCGTAAACAAACGCGCGCCCACGCAGCGCCGCCCGCCCAGCCTGCGCCTGCGCCGCTGTCTCTGACACATGCGGCGGTAACTGTCCTGTCGACTCAAAAATGCCAATAACCTCTAATCCTTCGCCGCAGTCAGAAAACCTCAGTTGACGTTACCACGATAATTATCGTAAATAAGTTTTAATTCATTTGATATCATTATGTCCCATGAGTTATAATCATATTTGTTGACCCTTGTCTTTTTCCATTTTGCTCTCATTATTATACATATATGAAATATTTTGATAATATAGATTATGTATAATAATTGATATAATCTTTGCTCTAAATAAATGTTAAAGCCTTCTAAAACATATTGATTTTCTATAGGTATATTTAGGATTCATTAATATAAAAACCTAAATAAAACAATGTGAAGCAGCTCAATTTATGTGTCTATTAATTTGTAACAAGTTTTCAAATGTTTTTTGTAATATTCCGGTTCATCAATTTATTAAATAATCATGAAAATAAATTACTTACACATTCCTTGTAATCTCCTAATTTCATGAATTTTAATATTAAAAAAATATTTTTTGTGTACTCGCGGGAATTAAAAACCAAATCGAAAACTCTAATTGTAAATAATAGGTATTATATACATATATGTCTACATATTACATATACATAAGTCTCGTCATATTGTCAGTTTGGTGTACGTCCAATATATTGCATAGTTAGCATTACTGTGTTATCTACATCGTTCTCAGTCTTGTACGAAAGATTAAATACATTGTAAACTTTCTCGTCTTTTATGCGTTTCCGAGAAATGGACGTTTTCCCGTAACGTGCAATGTGCATATCGACCTTTACGTTTACAGCGGATATAGGCTAAATTTCATGTGAAATCATTACATTTTATTCTTGTTCACTTTAAAATTAGTTTAATAAAATGACATGAATGAAATAGGCAAGTTAGATAAAAAAAACTTAGTTTATTTATTGACGAAATAAATAATATTTTAAAAGTTAAACTTTATAAAATGTTATGTCTGTTTAATAAGCAATTTTATTCTTGAAATATTTTCTCTTGGAACTCAAATCTAATCGTTATGATTGTTTAGTGAAAAAAATACACATAACTTAGTAGATAATAACATAATATAAGTCCTCTATGTAAGGGCGCGCGTCTAGGGCAGCCGATCAACCTATTTACTCGACTATAAAGTTTATGTACGATTTTTGCCTCTTTGGCTTGTGCAAATCGACAGATTATAATTGAATTTCACACTTTTCAAGACGTAATTAGCCCACCATACCTTAATCTGACGGTTTTAAATATTTCTACCTTACCAAATTTTTTAATTTTTTTTTAAATATTTTGATCGACTGCCCTAGACGCGCACCCTTATATAGAGTACTTATATTATGCAGGAGGTACTTAACAGGGTGCAAGGTATACTCCCTTATGTTAATCTGCCGCGCTTGAGTAAAGCCCACAATCTCCTCTTGGGCTCCCATACTATAACAGTAGTCTGTGAGAGGGTATTTATTATTACTTCCCCTGTCAACCAGCTTTGACAAATTAATTTGACAAATTAAATTGACTATTTAATAGTACTTGTAAAAGTCTAATTGAATAACGTTTAATTTCATTTCATTGCGCTGTGACATTACTAGGAACAATATCTCGGTATAAAAGTGAGGTATTGTATCTGTAAGTATACCATTGTTAAAGCACGAGAGTTTTTTTCATTTGAAATCCAATAAATATTATATTTTTGTTAGGCCCATAGGGACTTCTCGGTTGTGTATTTTCCACTAGCGAGTTATTCACTAGTGGAAAATATCTAACTAAAATGGCGACAACAGATTCATGGCCATCGATTAGTATAGATATGTGTAAGTGTAAGAAGTACTTAAAACGAATTTCTCGAAGTATATTAAAAGCAATATATGAAATTCAACATAGTTCAAACAAATATACAATTATTTCATCAAGCATTAGTCACTCCCGCGCGATAGCTATTAACCGCAACTCATACTGAACATTCTGTAAACAATGTCCAGAACTTTATCCAGCCTAAAAACGTTCAATGAGTTATGTTTTTGGAAATAAAAATTTTCACAAGCTTTAAAAATTGAACTACTACATGTAATATTCATATTTTTACCATTAAAGAAACTGAATATATTATATCTGTAGTATTTGAGAATTTAAAAAAAAAGTTTCCAAATATTGTACTTTATTATTTTTATTATGTACTTTTTATTGTTTTTCTTGAGCTTTCTTACTATCTTAACAGAGAAAAAAATTAAACCTTCTTTCTCATCATATATACGCACTAGTTATGTATATATTTATTTTTTTAGAGAAAAAAAAACACTTAACTCACAATGATGTTTCCTTGTAAGGTGACACAATATAAAAAAATAGTTTCTAATAATAGTGCAAAAACTGACAAAATATTTTAACTCATTTCTTGAAAATCACGAATATTAAATTTTATAAACACTAACATAAAATAGTATTGAAACTTCACAATAATTAGAAGAAATCTTACGAACCTAACTGTAAGTGACGAATCTTACAAATTTTCGCTGGTACTTTATAGTATACGAGCGATAATTTTGTTTTTATTTTAATTACTTTCATCGTCCGAGTTGAATTGCGCGTTTTGCGCACTTCGGGCCTCCTTATTTGTTCCGCGGTCTTACAGTATCCGATTACTGTTATCCTTACACGTTAAATTGAAAATTTTATTTGTAAATGCTATTTAATTGAATTATGGTTAAATATATGTAAATATTTAAAGTTCATGGAACTTATTACTAGAAAGATTAAACTGTACTTGCAACATTATTATTTTTTTATCAATTCGTTAACAAACCAATTAAAAATCGGTCAAGTGCGAGTCGAATTCGCACACGAAGGGTTCCATACCATCGTCCATGGACTTTTTATTAATATGACTTTTTTACTCTATGTATGTAGTAAGTACATATATTAACCTAATGATAGATTACGAACGTTGAAAAAAATGTTTCTTGTATTTTTGTTTTTGGCAATAGTAATAGATACTCTGTGAAAATTTCAACTTTCTGACCATTACGGTTCATGAGATACACCTATCTGACAGACGGACGGACAGTGGAGGTATAGTAATAGGGTTCCGTTGGCACCCTTCGGGTACGGAACCCTAAAAAGGAAATTTTGTAAAAGTTATTTAAGATAAATAGGAAAATTTTGTTCAAGGAGTACATTAAATTTTATGGAGATTTGAATAATATTTACAGCCCAGAAAAATCTCTATATTGCATCTTCACATTCTGCACGGGCTGTGTCATGCATTAACTTCCTAGACCACTTATAAAACGCTCCGATTTAAAAATAAACTAATATTCAAGTAGGGTTACGCCCAACTCACTAACGCCATCTAACCTGTTAACACTAAACGTGGAAAATTGAAAGCTCGCCAAAAGTTTTCACTGTTACGTCAGGGTTTGAGTTTAAGTTGATTTCATTTTGTTCATTTATGAACAGATGGCGCTACCTCTATACTTATTTTATTTTATATTTTTTACATTTTTCAAATAATCATCATTACTTACCTACCTAATATCGTATTATGCGAGAACTATCTAATAAGTCACGATCAAATTAATTGTTAGGTAAAATAGCTAAGTTACTTTAAAATTATCTATACAGATAAATAAAATTAAAGTCTCTATTTGTAGTGTCAAAATAACAGCGTTTTACTAGTTGCATAAGAACTAATATACGGTACATATAAGAAAAACACATTTTTTTAATTTTTTGTCTGTTTTTTTCGGATAATCTCTGAAACTGCTCGACTGATTTTGACGGGACTTTCACTAAAAGATAGCTAATGTTATAGGGAGTAACATAGGCTACTTTTATTTTAAAACCCGAGCTAAGTCGCTAGTAAACAATAATTTTATTAATAATATTTTATGCGTACCTACTGTGAAACCTATATGCATCTAAGAATATTAAGCTATTTGTTATAATGATTAATTTTACCATCAATGACATTCTCAGTTTAATATCATTTTAAACTTTTTTATTCTAACTCTTTACTGATCCCCATTCTACTCAAAAGACTATTTACCAATTACAATTTCTATTATAAATATCTAATACGTACTACTATATTTTACTACAATATTTTATATAGGTTTTTAAAAGTCTCATTTCTTTTTTTCGTCCATATTACCTACCTACTGCATAAATTGTGTGGTACACTGTCTGTAATAAATATAATTTGATACATCAAAAACTTCATTAAAACGCCGGATTATAAGAAATAAAAAATATGCGATAAAATTCATAAAAGTCAAAAAATACTTTTATTTAAAAACAAAAACTAACTCATCCCACGGGAACCGTACATTTTGCCGGGATAAAAAGTTTTCTATGTGTTATTCTGATGTATGAGCTATATTATTGTACAGTTTCATTAAAATCCATTCAGTAGTTTTTGCGTGAAAGAGTAACAAACATTCATACACCTATACATCCAGACATTCATACATCCTCACAAACTTTCGCATTTATAATTTTTATGACATAATACTTTCTATTTATGACTTTTATATTTCTGATATTTTTATCAAAATATACTAGACATCTAGATAACCCATCTAGAACTTGAACAGGTGATATTGATTAATAACATATATATATATATATATATATATATATATATATATATATATATATATATATATATATATATATATATACACCTACATCAATTATAGTAGATTACATATATGTGATTTTCATGCTTTTTTAACGTTTCTATATATATATATATATATATATATATATATATATATATGTGTGTGTGTATATGTATTGTAGCTTGCTTAATAGAAATTAAAAGGACATCCGGTTGTGCATACCTTATACACGCTTTGACGTCATAATTTCAACCAGTAGACCTAGACTATATGCCAAGATTTCACTATAAAAATACAAACATCGATTAGCAATGCAAATCGATCGGTAACAATCGATATGAAAACGCATTGTTGGCGTGTACACTCATGCACGCATTCCAACACAAT